GAGGAGAAACTGTCTCGATCAAAAGAGGAACACGAGAGAGACCGGAAACTACTGGACGCTGTTTTACATTCTCAGATCCAGAGGACAGGTCGGTTCAGTGCACTCTCTAATGGATGTTCACGAGACTAAACGTTTCAAAGCTCTATCATCGTGTAGCAGCTACAGAGGAGATATGGAGATGAGAACCTGAAGTCCTCCTCCAACAGAGCAACATGAATATATATATAGGACATAGAACTGATCAAATAGATAAAATAGGGCAAGAGAATGTTTTAAGATGTTAAAGTTAATACAAATAAAATAGAAATAGTGCAAGAAGAGTCTATATACAAGTACATGGAATATGATATATAGATACATCAATCAATCAATGTTTATTTATAGCCCAATATCACAATGTTACATTTGTCTCAGTGGACTTCACAGTTTGTACAGAATATCAGTATGACAATACGACACCCTCTGTCCTTAGACCCTCTGTCCTTAGACCCTCTGTCCTCAGAACCTCTGTCCTCAGACCCTCTGTCCTCAGACTCTCTGTCCTCAGAACCTCTGTCCTCAGACCCTCTGTCCTTAGACCCTCTATCCTTAGACCCTATATCCTTAGACCCTCTGTCCTCAGACCCTCGGTCCTTAGACCCTCTGTCCTCAGACCCTCTGTCCTTAGACCCTCTATCCTTAGACCCTCTGTCCTCAGACCCTCTGTCCTCAGACCCTCTGTCCTCAGACCCTCTGTCCTCAGACCCTCTGTCCTTAGACCCTCTATCCTTAGACCCTCTGTCCTCAGACCCTCTGTCCTTAGACCCTCTATCCTTAGACCCTCTGTCCTCAGACCCTCTGTCCTTAGACCCTCTGTCCTTAGACCCTCACATTGTACAAGGAAACACTTCTGGAGAAAACCCACAGTTTAAGGGGACATGGGAGAAACCTCAGGGAGAGCAACAGAGGAGGGATCCCTCTCCCAGGACGGACAGACGTGCAATAGATGCCGTGTGTAAATTGAAAAGATAATACATTTGCAACATAGGTAGTCCAAATGTTTGGAAATGCATGTGTGTATAATAGGAAGATGAATCCACGAGGATATCCATCCAGGACCTATGATCCAGGACCACAGCCACGACTCAAGATCCAGGGCTCGCGATCCAGGACAGAGGAGCGCAGGATCATCCATGACTCCGGATCCCGGCGTATATAGACACCAAAAAGAAAGACATGTGGGGAAGCTGGGTTAATCGGAACATCAATCAATCAATCAATCAATGTTTATTTATATAGCCCAATATCACAAATGTTACATTTGTCTCAGTGGACTTTACAGTTTGTACAAAAGATCAGTATGACAATACGACACCCTCTGTCCTTAGACCCTCACATCGTACAAGGAAAAACTTCCGGAGAAAACCCACAGTTTAAAGGGAAAAATGGGAGAAACCTCAGGGAGAGCAACAGAGGAGGGATCCCTCTCCCAGGACGGACAGACGTGCAATAGATGCCGTGTGTAAATTGAAAAGATAATACATTTGCAACATAGAGAACATGAGAGTACACAGGTATAGACAGAGAGAAGGAAGAAGTAAGATGTCCCCCGACAAACTAAGCCTATATCAGCAAAACTAGGGGCTGAATCTAATCAGCCCTAACTATAAGCTTTATCAAAAAGGAAGGTCTTAAGCGCACTCTTAAAAACGGATAGGGTGTCTGCCGCCCCAACACAAACTGGAAGCTGATTCCACAAATGTGGAGCTTGATAAGAAAAGGCTCTGGCTCCCATTGTACTTTTATGGCGCGTTTCCACTGCAGCAGGTAGCTCGCTTTAAGCGTGCCGAGCCGTGCGGGGCCCGTTTTTGGTTGCGTTTCCACTTTTTTCTGGCCCGACTAAATCGTGGTTCTAGGGCCAGGAAGAACCAGGCTGAGTCGGGCTGAGTTTGCTAAACTAGAGAGAGAATCGCTGGCAAGGGGCTACAACTACAACAAGATTAACATATTTGACCGTGATTTAATTTTAATACACGTTTCAAAATGATGCCGAAGTAACAACATACTGATACTGGTTAGTAAAAACCATGAGTTAAGGCTTTGACAAGTCTGCAGACAGACGGCAGGCGAAAAACAATTTAAAAATGCGTGTTTTCTAAATGTAGCTTGGCTAAGCTAACGTTATATATGCTCCGACCGTCCACACTCACAACAACGGCCTATACAGACATAAATAAACCAGCGACTGTATTCTCCATGACACAGGCAGTCTGTGGTTTGTACTTGTTTAACTTCTGTCAAGTTTCTGAACAGATATGAGGAGCTGTGAGCTCTGAGTGCTAACAGCTAACGGCTGTGTTGTTTTTCTGGGGCTCTCATTGAAGATGACGTCACGGCTCCGCCTACACTGCGTTACTATAGTAACTGCCCCAGTTCCTAAACTGTAATGGAAGCGCAGCATTAAAGTGAGCCGGGCCTAATAAAGCCTAACCAAACCGAGCGAGGCCGAGCGAGGCCTGCAGTGGAAACGCGCCATTAGAGACTCTAGGAACAACCAACAACCCTGCATTCTTGGAACGCAATGCCCTAGTAGGACAGTAGGGTATAATGAGTTCTTTAAGGTAAGATGGCGCCTGCCCATTAAGGGCTTTGTAGGCGAGAAGAATAATTTTAAATTGTATCCTGTGTTCTATAGGGAGCCAGTGTAAGGCAGCCAGAACAGGAGTAATGTGGTCCCTTTTCCTAACTCTGGTTAGTACACGAGCTGCAGCCTTTTGAATCAGCTGAAGCGACTTGACTGACTTCTTGGTACACCCTGATAATAAAGAGTTACAATAATCCAGCCTTGAAGTAACAAATGCATGGACTAGTTTCTCTGCATCGTTTTGAGGCAAGATATGCCTGATTTGTGCAATGTTACGTAGATGGAAGTAGGCGGTCCTTGAAATTGATTTTATGTGGGCGTTAAAGGATAAATCCTGATAACGTTGGAGCTCAACAAAGAAGGGGATTTTAAGCTGTAATGAACACAACAACTATTCTTTGTAACGTCTCTGTTTCCTGTTTCCTGCAGACGTCCAACTGGTGGAGGTTGAAGAAGAGTTTCCCCCTGAGACCCCCCCACACATTAAAGAGGAACAGGAGGAACTCTGGATCAGTCAGGAGGGAGAGAAGCTTCAAGGGCTGGAGGAGGATGATAACAGCAAGTCAACATTCACTCCTGTCCCTGTGAAGAGTGAAGATGATGAAGAGAGACCTCAGTCCTCTCAGCTTCGTCAGAGACAAACAGAAGCTGATGGAGAGGACTGTGGAGGACCAGAACCAGACAAGAACTCCGATCCAGAGACACGTTTACAACCAGAGACTGAGGACAACCCTGGAGACTCTTCAGAACCTGACACTGAAGACAGTGCCGGTTGGAAGGAGACCAGAGAACCTCCGTCAGGTTCAAACTCTCGAGTCCCCGTCAGTGATTCAAGGCGTAGTTCTGCAAATAAACGCTGTAAATGCTCTCAGTGCGGGAAAACATTAAGCAAGAAGAGTGATCTGAATCGACACATGCTAATTCACACAGGAGAGAAACCCTTCAGCTGCGCACTGTGCAGTAAAAGGTTTATCCGCAGGAGTCACGTGACGAGACACATGCTAGTTCACAGCGGAGAGAAACCCTTCAGCTGTTCACTGTGCAGTAAAAGGTTTATTCGCAGGAGTCATGTGACGAGACACATGGAAGTTCACACCGGAGAGAAACCATTCAGCTGCTCAGTTTGTGGGGAATCTTTTACACAAAGTGAACATTTACAGATTCACCTGAGAGTCCATGAAGAAGAGAAACCATTCAGCTGCTCTCTGTGTAGCAACAGATATACACAGAGGGGGGAATTAAACCTTCACATACAGGTTCACACCGGAGAGAAACCCCACGGCTGCTAACTGAGAAGTGGAAGATATTAGGCATGTTTGAGATGAGCTGCGTCTCGCCTCGAAAGTAGACGAGAATAGCCGATTGCAGCCGGGGGAGGTCTCAAAAAGCTCGCCTGAAGTCGGACAGCTCGGAGTCGGCTTGACTCGGTTTGCAATGACGGAAATTGCGTTGGCGTTCTTCGTTGCAGATTAAGTGGATGCAATAGAAATCCCACAATTAGTATATCACTACAAATGAATGACTCAAGTGTCTGTTCATTTAAAAAAAAAAATCAATACAAGGGGGGTTGAATCCTACATGTAAAAGACAGAACCACTACTTTTCAAAACTACTTCCGTCAGTGGTCTTGACCAGTTTGCATTTATGAAGAACGCACACATGTGTTTAATCGTTAATGTCAGATATGTACTAAGTAAATAAATGTGTTCCTGATCAAGATTAGATTCAACTTATGTTATTGCACAGATTACAGGTACTGAGACAACGAAATGCAGTTTAGCTTCTAACCAGGAGTGCAACAAGCAGTAAAGTGAAAAGTAATGTACACAATAGACAGAATAAAATATAGAATGAATTGAATGATGAATAAACAGTGAGGGGTATGAATACAATAGATACACACAGCAGCCTGTGAGCAGTATGAACAGTGTGTATGGATATGCTAAGATATATAAAGTATGAAATGGTAAGCAGTGCAAGTATAGTATAAAATATATAGATATTAATTTCATGATGATAAACATTGTGGAACAATGATGAAAAATGGGAATGGATGTGGCGACGTAAAACTGACACAAAACAACAACAAACTTTTGCCGAGCCAATGGGAGAGCTTCATCAGCAGCACGGGGTAAAAACCCACCAATGAGCGCTCAGCTCGAGATACCAGCGAGTCGTTTCCCATCAAGCATTTCGCTTCTGCAGCCCGTGGAGAGGAACTGCGCCGCCTCGCTCTCAAGGCTACCGGCGTCTTTGTCCCGCGAGATTTCAACGTCTCATGTAGGCGAGCCTCCAGAGCAAGTCGGACAAAATTACTAACCATCATGCAACGCACTATTAAGACAGCGGTCGCAATTGCGCAGGTCTGCGTCGGTCTCGCTCATCTCAAACAAGCCTATTTACTCAGGTGTATTCTGAACACTTGCAAGTTCACACTGAGGAGAAACCTTTCAGCTGCTCCGATTGTGAGAAATCTTATAGACGAAGTGAAAGTTCAAAGATTCACATGAGAGTTGGAGGAGAAACGATGTGGCTGCCGTGTTGGTGAGCAAGGATTCTCTTGGGTTTATGAACTCAGAAACCATCAAAATGCCAAACGATAAATAACGTCTAACTTTACTGAATACAAAGGACATCTGGAGAGTATGACAACATGACTTCTACTTGAACTGATGCTCTAAATATCTTGTCAATTATTTACTTAAATGTACATTTTGTTTAAGCATCTAAAAATAAACCTACTTTTTATTTTGTATTACACATCTTAGATTTAAAGGTGGGGTAGGTAATTCCCTTCAGAAACACTTGTTATATTCCATGGAATGCTCTTAACATCCCGATAGCAATGAATACAATAAATGATTTGACAATAAATACATTAAAACATTTCATCTGTGGAAGCCGTAGCGCTGTAAAAAGCACGACCAATCATCTGAGCCGGCTGGCTAAAGTAACTGGATGGCCTACCTGCCTGTCAGCCTTCCATCTGGGCACAGACTTTCAGTAAAGTCACAGGAAGAGGACGGGGTTTCATAAGGAGTTAAAGAAATGACAATTGAATTACTTTAAATGTATGTTATTTACTTCACATCACATGGTAAATGTCCTGGACTTATACATCTCTTTCTCAGGTCTCTTCGACCCTCAGAGCTCTTTACAAAATACGAGAAAAATCATTTTGAATTTTTTTCCGAAATCTAACTTTATTTGATTATTACAATTTTTGACATTTTTATAAAAGATCTTTTTTTATTTCTCACTTTTTTCAGTTTTGTGACTTATTTTTAGAATTTTAACTTTTTTCAGAAATCATTTTATTTTAGACATTTTTTTTGGGAGTTCTGACTTCATTGTTTTAAAAAAACATTTAGAATTTTTTCTGAGAAATGTGATTTTGTTCAGGGTTCAGTATCTCGCCCAGGGACACGTTGACTCCACGGGCTGGAATCGAACCAACAACCTTCTTGTTGAAAGACGACATAGTAACATGATGTCTTCTCCATCTCATGTCTGTTCCTCACGCTGTGTAATCAATATGCTTTCAAATCAATAAGATCCTCATTGTTGCCTCACTGATCTCTTCTGATTGGATATCATCACCTTCCCATTCCACTAGCTCTGAAGAGTTACAGCATTAGTGACACTGACTCTAAATAAGACCAACTGCATCATTGACATCTTTAAGTCCATTTATTTAACCATTAGTTTCTTTACGTGGCGTCTGATCGTCCTCCAGCTCTCACGTTACACTTCATATCATCTGTGATAAACACCAATAAACACTATTTTATATTCAGTGGTTAATAAGCTGCAGAGCAAACTGTTCTTATCAGATGTTCACCCACTGCTCCAATATATATTATTTATTCAATAGAGATCCTCAAAAACCTCAAATCGGCCAAACCATGTTGTAGCTCTTGTCTGCTAATGCTAATGAATGCAGCTTGTGTTCATTGTGTAAACGTCCCAACAGCTGCAGGTTAACATCCGGCAGGTTCTATGAGCTGGAGACCCTACTCTACATTTCTATCATTAAACTTTGGGGTCTCAACATGTCCGGGTTCACACTGATGACAAGTAGAATATTTACAATCAATAACTAAGGAGGTGTGGTGAAAACAGTGTGAGAATGTGCTCTGGTTCTGAGCCTAAAACCCTCTTCTGTCCCCTGCTGTGATGAAGCTTCTCTTCCTCTGGACCTGAACCACACACTGGAGACATAAAGGTCTGCACACGTCTTTGTTGTTTAAGTTCCAGTTGTTCCCACTAGATGGCGCTCAGGAGCAGTGGATTCACCCATGGATGTATTTCCCCTCCTGCTGGTGGGACTGTTTACAGGAAATCACGTGACTGCTGGGAACAGTTCCGAACTCAACCAGCAGGGGAGCTGTTGCTCAGACTCAGACTGTGAACTGCGCAGCAGGAAATAAATAGTGCACTGTCACTCTCAGGGGAAATGAGGGGAGTCCCGGAGAGACAGCGGGGGTTCACCTGAAGAGAGAACAGCATACACATCTACTGATCAATACACATACCTGATCAATACACATACCTGATCAATACAAATACCTGATCAATACACATACCTGATCAATACACATACCTGATCAATACATATACCTGATCAATACACATACCTGATCAATACATATACCTGATCAATACACATACCTGATCAATACACATACCTGATCAATACATATACCTGATCAATACAAATACCTGATCAATACAAATACCTGATCAATACACATACCTGATCAATACACATACCTGATCAATACACATCTACCTGATCAATACACATACCTGATCAATACACATACCTGATCAATACATATACCTGATCAATACATATACCTGATCAATACAAATACCTGATCAATACACATCTACTGATCAATACAAATACCTGATCAATACACATACCTGATCAGTACAAATACCTGATCAATACACATACCTGATCAATACACATCTACTGATCAATACACATACCTGATCAATACACATATCTGATCAATACACATACCTGATCAATACAAATACCTGATCAATACACATACCTGATCAATACACATCTACTGATCAATACACATACCTGATCAATACACATACCTGATCAATACAAATACCTGATCAATACACATACCTGATCAATACAAATACCTGATCAATACACATACCTGATCAATACACATACCTGATCAATACAAATACCTGATCAATACAAATACCTGATCACTACAAATACCTGATCAATACACATACCTGATCAATACAAATACCTGATCAATACACATACCTGATCAATACACATACCTGATCAATACACATACCTGATCAATACACATACCTGATCAATACAAATACCTGATCAAAACACATACCTGATCAATACAAATACCTGATCAATACAAATACCTGATCAATACACATACCTGATCAATACAAATACATGATCAATACACATACCTGATCAATACACATACCTGATCACTACAAATACCTGATCAATACAAATACCTGATCAATACACATATCTGATCAATACACATACCTGATCACTACAAATACATGATCAATACAAATACCTGATCAATACACATATCTGATCAATACACATACCTGATCAATACAAATACCTGATCAATACAAATACCTGATCAATACAAATACCTGATCAATACACATACCTGATCAATACACATACCTGATCAATACAAATACCTGATCAATACACATACCTGATCACTACAAATACCTGATCAATACACATACCTGATCAATACACATACCTGATCACTACACATACCTGATCAATACACATACCTGATCAATACAAATACCTGATCAATACAAATACCTGATCAATACACATACCTGATCAATACAAATACCTGATCAATACAAATACCTGATCAATACACATACCTGATCAATACAAATACCTGATCAATACAAATACCTGATCAATACACATACCTGATCAATACAAATACCTGATCAATACAAATACCTGATCAATACAAATACCTGATCAATACAAATACCTGATCACTACAAATACCTGATCAATACACATACCTGATCAATACAAATACCTGATCAATACAAATACCTGATCAATACACATACCTGATCAATACACATACCTGATCAATACACATACCTGATCAATACAAATACCTGATCAATACACATACCTGATCAATACACATACCTGATCAATACAAATACATGATCAATACACATACCTGATCAATACACATACCTGATCACTACAAATACCTGATCAATACAAATACCTGATCAATACACATATCTGATCAATACACATCTACTGATCAATACACATACCTGATCACTACAAATACCTGATCAATACAAATACCTGATCAATACACATATCTGATCAATACACATACCTGATCAATACAAATACCTGATCAATACACATACCTGATCAATACAAATACCTGATCAATACAAATACCTGATCAATACACATACCTGATCAATACAAATACCTGATCAATACAAATACCTGATCACTACAAATACTGATCACTACAAATACCTGATCACTACAAATACTGATCACTACAAATACCTGATCAATACACATACCTGATCACTACAAATACCTGATCAATACACATACCTGATCAATACAAATACCTGATCAATACATGATCAATACACATACCTGATCAATACAAATACCTGATCAATACACATACCTGATCAATACAAATACCTGATCAATACACATACCTGATCAATACAAATACCTGATCAATACAAATACCTGATCAATACAAATACCTGATCACTACAA